AAAAAAAAAAAAAAAAAAATCCCCACAAAGTAACAAAACAAAACAAAAAGAATTGGAATTGAATTAATAATTAAACTTTGAGAATTCTATTCAATAAAATAGTAATACAGTTTTATGGGGAAATAGATGATAGTTTGTAAACTGAAAAGACAGTACTTCATTGGCCATATAACATGAGATGCTAAAAAGAAAAGGGCCCTTGTTGACTTAACCCAAAACTGTCAGAACATTGAGTTCTGGAATTTTTGGTTTTTATTTACTGTTTGTTATAATGAAAATGCATTAGGTATCATTAGAATATTGATAATAATCCTTTTTTCCTTATATTACCAGACAATGACATTATCATTTCTACTAAAATTAGCATTTCCATAGTAAATAAAAGGCTAAACATCACTAGAAAGTTAGCTAATAGTATACACACACACACATATGTGCATGTCATTGTAATTTATTACTTGAGTAGTTAGGAAAAAAACCCAATGATTATCATCATCAAGGCTGAGCATTTGGCAAAATTTAACATCTTTTCTTATTCATAAAACATAAATGGATAGTTTCTTAATATACCAAATATATCAGGCCTGGGATTTTAGCTCATTGGTTCTGCCGCCTGCCTCACAAGCACAAGGTCCTGAGTTTGATCTCTGGTACCAAAATAAAAACAAAAACAAACAAAAATATACCAAATATATCTATCTCTATTCAAAATCACGGTAATGCTAGGTAGGAAAACTGGCAGCATTTCCACTATAGTTATGAATAAAACAAGGCTGACAGCTATCACTCTTTTTTTGTTTTGTTTTGTTTTCTGTTTTTTGTTTTTTTGAGACAGGGTCTCACTATGTAGTTGAGACTGACCTGGAACTCACTCTGTAGCTCAGGCTGGTCTTGAACTCACAGCGATCCTCCTGCCTCAGCCTCCCAAGTGCTGGGATTACAGGAGTGCACCACCATGCCCAGCATATCACTCTTAACATTGAAAGAAATTATAGACAGAAAGATTTTTGAGAACACCTTGGTGCATAATGAGGAGAACCAAGTCAAAGCCACATATTCTGCAGAGGTGTACCAATATTAGACATAGCACTCCCTATTCTAAATTATATAAACAACACACCCTAATATGGGAACTATAAAAAGTACTGCAGCGTATATATGATTATTAAAAGGTAGAAGAATGACATCTTCATAACAGATGATCTGTCAGAGCTAAGAGAAGTGTGTTTTAGGAAATTTCTGCTTTGTATTCTTTAAAAATCAGGAGAATTTAGACTCAGAATATCAGAAGATCTAAGATGAGAGAAGACAACAGAATGAGCTTAAAACGTGTTTACTGATATATTATCTGAAATAAAATAAAGCTAAATGAAAAAGAGATTAAATTAATTAAAATTAAATAAATTAAAATCAGAAGTATGCTGGTCATGGTAGTGGCATGCCTATAATTCCAGCAGTGAGGGAGGCTGAGACAGGTGGATGACAAATTTGCATCCTGCATGGGCAATTTAGTGATACTCTCTCAAAATAATGGAAATAAAAAGAGCTGGGGAATAATTTTAATCTTAGGATCTTCAGCGTTTAAGTAACAGTGCCATCATTTGTGGTACTGATAACTAGGGTTATAAACGATCAAGTATTTTGGACTTGGAAATATGCCTTTTACTTTCTTACAAGAAAAAGAGATTAAAAAAAGGTAGTTCTTAGAGCAAGAGCTGGAAAACAGCCAAAAAGTCAGAACAAAAAGCATGGTACAAGATTAGATATTTCAATGACAAGAGATATAAATGGGTTAAGTTCCTCTATTAAAAACTAGAACTTCTGATATGGCTGAGTCAACTACTTTTGTGTGTGTGTGTGTGTGTGTGTGTGTGTGTGTGGCACTAGAGATCAAACTCAGTACCTTGCTTGAGAGGCAGGCGCAGCACCGCTGAGGTAATCCCCAGCCCAGGCTGAATAAACTTCTGAACAAATCTTCCCATGGAGAAGAAGAATAGATTCTGTGCAAAACACTTAACACAATTATCTGAAGACCCTGGTGTTTTAAAAAATGCAGCAGATTCTAGAGGGGAGACAAAACTTGGAAGAAGGTCCAGTATAGAGAGTTTTCAGGTTTTTTTTTTTTTTTTTTTTTTTTTTTTTTATGACCATCAGCCTCAGCGCAGGGTGAAGTCAGTGCTGCATTGGTGCCTGGAATTCTGGTAGAAAATCAGGTGTCTTTCTAGCTTGAAGAATCAGAGTTTGGGGCAAGTGCTTTGCTAGAGATTAAGAAATAGGTCCCAGAGAGAACTAGTTTGGTATAGCCTTACATTCTGTGGGTAAACCCAACCCAAATTTCTGTGCTCTGAACTGCAGATATGCAGGTTAGACTACAGGCTGTTCAACTAAGGGTAAGAGTCCAGAACTGAGATTCGAGCTACTGCTCAAGAGAAGAGTTTGTAGCTTGAACCTAACCAAAGTAATTTCCTACCAAAGCAAATATACCAACACTTCAGGTAATAAAATGGAATTCATAAGGTCAAGCATACAATCCAAAGTTGAAGAATGAGTAAAGCACAACCCATTTTCAAGAAAACATACATCGACAGAGACCAACTCCAAGATGACCTTGATTAGGGGACAAGGACTTTAGAGTAGCAGCATTATTACTGGGGTGATGAGGTACATTTATAATGAGAAAACAAGTACGTTTGTAATGAGTAAAAGAACAAGAAACCTCAACAGAGAAGTGAAATCATTAAAAAAAGTAACATTTAAATTTTAGAGCGCAAATTCACTGCATGGCTTAATAGCATAATGGAAGTAATGAAAGAAAGAGTAAGAGAACATGAAATTATCTAATTGAAGAATAAAAAGAAAATGCTAGAAGGATGTAAAGCCCTATGAATTTGAAGAACTGTAGCAAGCTTTCTGACGTATTTCTAATTGGAATCTCAGAAGGCAGAAAAACCTTTGAAGAAATGATAAACATTTTCAAATCTGTGGGAAGCTATATAATATCTATACCTGTATGAGGTGGCTGAATCTAGTGTGTGATGCTGGGATCAGTTCATGGTGCAATGCTAGGATCAAGGGCAATAGAATTAAGGGTGTGAGTGGTGCCCACTCTAAGTAGCCTGGATAAGACAT